TTATGTTATAGAGGGCATATGATAGCATTTAAAGCTACATAAATCCCGAGTGTAATAGGAAAAAGTTAGGAAATAGAGGAAGAATAAAGTATGAACTGAATAAACACTCTCAAATGCAAACATTCTAGTTTTTGAGAATGCCGTAATCTTTGTAGAGGGTCTAGGCAACAACAGTGCTTTATATCTGTAAGAGTTTTTTACGGTTTGCAAAGGGTTTCCACATGTGCTGTTTCAAGTTGGTTTTGTGAGGTAGACGGATGATGGTACTAGTTCCAGGAGTGTAGATGCACAGCTGAGGCTCATGCAGGTGGAGGGGTCACCCCTGATCATTCAGTCTATAAGTGGGAGAGTGGGGCCTGGAGCTCAGGTCTATGATTACTGATTTAGGACCCTTTCTACATCAGGATTTGCAATATATGTCTAAAATATAGCTGTGACTAAGGCAGTCACTGGGCCTTTATAACAGGCCCTAATAGCTATGTGATATTGGGCAAAATGCTTTATTTCTTTGGGTGTCAGTTTCCTCATAGAAAAATGAGGGTGGGGTTTTGGGGAGGCCTCCATGATCCCACAGGCCCTCCCTCTTCTCCACTGTGGCTCTAAGATCCCATGGAACGCTGGCCTGCAAGACCCAGAGAGCTTTTTAGACCTTGACGTCTGTAGCTCGGTGATGACAGGCAACAGTTTTGTGGAAGTAGGTGACAGCAAATATCAAAACACCTAAAATAGCTTGCTAGTGTCATTACTGCCCCTCAGCCTGGTGGCAGTATTAAGTCTAGGGTCTCACTGCTGTAGTAATCCAAGTTAATTCAGCCTGAAGACAGAAATAAAACAGAAACAAAGCCACTTTGTAGGAGAAAGGGTGTAAGTTTGCCAGATAGAGTTTTTGGGTGTTTTTTTCTTAAACTAGGAGAATTAAGAGTGAATTTCTGTTTAACAGATAACTCTAAACATACATTAAAATCACAGGACCTATTCAATAATAAGTGATTTAAAAATGACATTCAAAAATACATTGTTGCCACTCTCAAAAAGTGATCATAGGCTAGTTAAGGGTTAAAAAACTGAGTTCAAAAATTCCAAAGATTTGTGCTTGCTTCGGCAGCACGTACACTAAAATTGGAACAATACAGAGAAGATCAGCATGGGGTCTGCGCTAGGATGACTCACAAATTTGTGCAGTGTTCCATATTTTTATGTCTGAATCACTATGTTGTGCACCAGAAACCAACACAACATTGTAAATCAATTATCCTTCGATTAAAAAAAAAAAGAATAAAGCAATAAATGGTGTAAAAAACTCCAAAGCTTTAATGGTCCCTTAGTGACTCAGTAATTTTTTTCACAGCACATCTAGCCCAAAAGAAATGCCAAGGAGTTACATTTAAGCTGTTAGATCCAAACAACCTAATATTAATAGTTCTTATCATGCCCAATAGATGTTAGTGTTCCCTTGCAAATTTGAAAGATCCTGCAGTGCCCCTCTGAGTAGGGTTTCCTGGTTTAAATTTTAATTTCAAATAAACCATCATTTCTTTAGTGTAAGTATTTTGCAAATATTACACGACAT